CCATTGAAGAGACCCAGATTAAATCATGACATCAGACACTCAATCGCAAATTCCAAACATGTCTCCTGATGGAGCTATTTGTGTGTGAGGTGGAAAGTCACTGCCACTAAATAGCCAGCTTTTGGATTTTACCTCAGGGTTTTATGTTTTCAGTTGAGGCCGGTCTTCTACTCACTGTCCCCAGGACTAAATCACAGACTCTTGGTGACTGTGCCTTTTCTGTTGCTGCTCCAGTGTTGTGGAATGACCTCTCTCGGTCTTTAAGAGAAACAAATTCTGTAACTCTCTTCAAATCTAAACTGAAAACTTACCATTTTACCAAGGTCTACGTCTGATTGCCTACAGTCAGTTTGTAAAAACCTGTATGTTTTTGGGTTTTTTTCTATTTACTTTTATTGTACTGTTCTTCACCTTTTCTTTCTGCAAGATGCACAGCGTCCTTTAGTTTGGAAAGGCGCTTTATAAATAAAAGTTGTTATTATTATTATTATTATCATTATTATTATTATTATCATTATTATTATTATTAGTGATCTGGTGCACTATGGCTGCCAGTGGATGCTGCACATCGGTGGTGGTGGAGGGGAATCTGTAAAGTGCTTTGAGTGGAGTCTCCAGAAAAGCGCGATATATACATGTAAATAATCATTCTTATATTATTAATAAACAAAATTATAATCACTTAATAAAAGTGATTTATTCTGCATGTGATGGAGAGGAATTGTGGGAATAAATTAAATTAAATGCTTTGGAATTGGAAAAATGATATTTCTGAAGACTGTGAACTAGTCACATTGTCAAAATAATGTTGTACTAAATGATTTAGTCGTGTTGTAGTACAGGTGAGTGCAGTCTTAATCCCAGTGAGCCACTAAGTGTTATGTATTTTGTTAAAATCCAGATCTCTCAGAAGTATGTATTTGGTAAATTAGTACAAAGAAATGTGCCTTTATTTAAAGTATCCTAAAACCCTATATCTCTCTCTCTTTTGTTTACAGGATCTAAAAAAATAGCTTTTCAGTGGGAGCGCCATTGAATGAGGAAGAACACAGAATGTGCACACAAGTTAATTAAAAAGTAGAGGAATGCATAAAGATTTACACAATTTGTGTAATTTTGAAGGGTGGCACAGTGGCGTAGTGGGTAGCTTGCTGTCTCACTGCGCTGGTGCACTTTGTTCAATTTTGGACCTGAAGTGCTATTTGTGTTCTCCCTGTGTTTGCATGGGTTTCTTCTCGGGTTTCCTCAAACAGTCCAAAGATATACCGATAGGTTAATTGGCTTCTGGAAAAACGGGTCCAATGTGTGTGTGTTTGTGTCTGTTAGCTCTGCAATGGACTGCTGTCCTGTATAGCGTGTACCCTGCCTTGCACCTGTTACTTGCTGGGATAGGCTCTGTCTTCCCAGTGACCCTGAATTGGAGGAAGCATTTAAAAAATGCATGGCCGAATGTTCTCCTTAAACTGTAATATTGAAGGGACACAGAAACCCGAAACGTGAAGAAGACTTGTCACGAAAAGGGGAAAACACACTTCTTCAAACCACACAGTGAGTTCATATTGTACCGCACTGTC